CCTTTCCGGCCGGGGCCTCCCGGGGGGGGGGGGTCGATAGGACATCGCTGGCTCCCCCTGCTCGGCCAGCTGGGAGCCACCCCCAACCCCCTCACCCCTTGCGCCCAGGGGGATGCCACCAGCCCCTCCCAGTTCCCAATGGGTGGTGCAGACAGAGGACTATGAATGTTCAAACAGGCTTTGCCGCTTCCAGCGCGTGGCCCTGGGGCTGACGGGGGTACAGAGAGGGGCCCCTGCGACCGGTTTGCCTGGGACAAAGGACGGGGGAGGAGCAGCCTGGGCCGTGATGGGTGGGAAGGAGGGGGCAGCCAGAGCCCCCCTGGCTGCGGGACAGACCTCGGTGTACTGGGCTGAGGGGGGCCAGGCCCAGAGAGCTCCTGTGCTGAGTTCAGACGCTCAGACCTGTCTCGCTCTGGCTGGGGACTAGGCTCCATCATTCCCCCTGGGAGTGCAGGCCCCCGGGCCCAGAGCGGGGACTCCCTGAGGGGCCCATGGCAGAGACAGGCAGGCTGGGGGCTCGTAGGGGGCAGAGAGTGGCCCCAGAGAAGGGGCTGTCACACTGAAGGGGGCCCCCTCCCCCGGGCCGTACGGTGCTGCGAGAGGGCACCTGTTCTGTGAATCTGTGATAACCTTATGAGGTGCAGTGCATGCTGGGACACGGAACTCAAGGGGCCGTACCCCTAGTGCAAGGAACAGTGCATGCTGGGACACGGAACCCCCAGGGGTCACGCCCATAGCACAAGGCATGGTGCATGCTGGGACACGGAACTCAAGGGGCCGTACCCCTAGTGCAAGGAACAGTGCATGCTGGGACACGGAACTCAAGGGGCCGTACCCCTAGTGCAAGGAACAGTGCATGCTGGGACACGGAACTCAAGGGGCCGTACCCCTAGTGCAAGGAACAGTGCATGCTGGGACACGGAACTCAAGGGGCCGTACCCCTAGTGCAAGGAACAGTGCATGCTGGGACACGGAACTCAAGGGGCCGTACCCCTAGTGCAAGGAACAGTGCATGCTGGGACACGGAACTCAAGGGGCCGTACCCCTAGTGCAAGGAACAGTGCATGCTGGGACACGGAACTCAAGGGGCCGTACCCCTAGTGCAAGGAACAGTGCATGCTGGGACACGGAACTCAAGGGGCCGTACCCCTAGTGCAAGGAACAGTGCATGCTGGGACACGGAACTCAAGGGGCCGTACCCCTAGTGCAAGGAACAGTGCATGCTGGGACACGGAACTCAAGGGGCCGTACCCCTAGTGCAAGGAACAGTGCATGCTGGGACACGGAACTCAAGGGGCCGTACCCCTAGTGCAAGGAACAGTGCATGCTGGGACACGGAACTCAAGGGGCCGTACCCCTAGTGCAAGGAACAGTGCATGCTGGGACACGGAACTCAAGGGGCCGTACCCCTAGTGCAAGGAACAGTGCATGCTGGGACACGGAACTCAAGGGGCCGTACCCCTAGTGCAAGGAACAGTGCATGCTGGGACACGGAACTCAAGGGGCCGTACCCCTAGTGCAAGGAACAGTGCATGCTGGGACACGGAACTCAAGGGGCCGTACCCCTAGTGCAAGGAACAGTGCATGCTGGGACACGGAACTCAAGGGGCCGTACCCCTAGTGCAAGGAACAGTGCATGCTGGGACACGGAACCTGCAGGGGCCAGGCCCCTAGCACAAGGCATGGTGCATGCTGCTCTGTGTGTTGGGGGCCAGGACCCCACTTCCCCAGGGCCCAGCACACAGGGGCCCAGGCATGGCTGGTACCTGAACCTCCGGGCGCAGTCGGCCTCGCGCCGGTAGTCACACTCCCACTCCAGCTCCCTCTGCAGCACCTGCAGCGTGCTGTCGGCGAAGAGGCCTGGGGAGGCAAAGGAGGTGTGCTGAGGGGCAGGGAAGTCTGCCCTCTGTCTGCAGCCCCTGAGGGAAGGGGGGCACGTCTCCCTGGGCGGGAGGCTGCTGGGAGGACGCCCCAGAAGCACAAGCTGCGCCCGGGGAGGGGGCAGGCGAGACGCCGGGGAACCGGCGCAGCCTCTTACCCGCTGGGAGCGTGGTGCTCAGCCTCAGCAGCGCCAGCAGGTTGTCCACGTCACTCCGGATGCTCTGGGCTATGCCTGGGTACTGCGGGGAGGAAGCGAGAGCGGAGAGGGGAGGCCGAGCACCCCTCGCTCAGGGCCCTTCCCCGCCCCGGCCCAGCAAAGCAGGAGAAACTGAGGTGCCCAGAGGGGAGGGGAG